GGGGGGTGGGGGGTAAATTGGGAAGCTGGGAACTGTCAGGCTGATCAAATGATTTCTGATTCATGGAAAACCTCAAACATGTTCGACGTGCATTAGGGAATGCGTACGAAAATACCAGAAAACTGGAGAGAAGTATCATCGTGAGCTGTACTGACAGCCAGGAAAACAAACCCCCGCAATGTCCCCGTGTTCTCTTCAATAAGTATAATTTTAAAGCAAAGAATTATACTAAGCTAAGAAAAGATGTTTAAGATACTCGTAATTATTGTTGGCACAGCTGCATTATAATGGGATGTTTAAAAGACTTTTTATCAATGTTCAGTACAAAGGGAAATTCCCCAAATTTAAACTCATGAATATATGTTCTTTTTGCCTTTCAGCATTTGGATTTCCCCTACTCTTTGTAGGAAGGCTTCTTTTTTAAGTTGGTCATTAAAAGAGTTGGAAAAGCTGTGTTTTGGTATCCACATCTCTACTTTAAAAGATTATTATTAGATGAGCTTAGCCCTTCTTGAAATAGGTTAGAGGTGCATTTTGTGTATGCCATACATTACAAGTCTGCTTTCTTGAAATTTTTCAATGTACTTTTCCTTGCTTATTAATACTATGGGAAAATAAAATGTCTCGCTATGTATTACAAGACACAGAGTTTGTCCCCTTCGTTAGGGAAGCACTTTGTGGGCAGACAGGAAATGTTTAAAGCTGTGGTGCAAGCACTGGAACACAGAGAACATGAAAATGTACAAACATCTCTGCTGGGTCAGACACAAGAGACTGTCTAACCCAATGCCCCGTCTCCAACTGTGGCCACAAGTGGATGCGCAAGGAAAGGTATTAAGACTACAGAGAGCCTTTAATGATACACTCCCTGAATCCTCTCCCAGTCTCCAACCATCTGGAGGGACTTCCCAAGGCAGAGGTAGTGTCTGGTTATTTAATAACCCTTGCTGGATTTCTTTTCATGAACTTGCAGGTCTCCCCTTGAGCTCACGTGAACTTCTTGCATCCATGACATGCCATGGCAAGGAGTTGCTCAGCATAATGATGCATTCCGTGGTTTCATCTGAGACCTCATCTTTTATCTGAACCTTCACCTTTTATCTGAACTTTCTATCTGCCAGCATCATTTGATGCCACTTTTGTACTGGAAGAGACAGACAGCTGTCGATCCCTACGCATTCCCTCCACAACACTGATGATTCTTATGACCTCTTGTCTCTTAAAGCCTCTGTTTCTCCAGGCTGAGGATTCCTACCCCCACAGTCCTTCCACATACAAAGCTCTTCCATTCTATAACACTGGAGTTTAATGTCAGATTTTTTTTACCTTGAGAAAAAGGGGATGGGAAAATGGAAGTAATTAGCAAGCATTCAGCCTGGTTGCCAAAAAGTAACCGAGTGAGAAAATCGTTAAGTGCTTGGAATCAAAAATTCAATATTTGACTTAGACCAAGGAAAGAGTAATAGTTGCTCAATACCATGGACATGACAGAGTGGAAGTGATGCTACTTTCAGGATATAGCTTCCAGAAGTTTTCTCTGTTTATGTAGCAGTTTTGTCAGCTTCCAAAGTACGGTTTTGTTTCAGAAGAGCAATCGTGTTTTTGGTTTAGTGTTCACCACCTCTGATTGACCATATAAGAGTCAAAGTCTGTGTTGCAGGATCCTGAGGAAGGCTGTTCTGACATCTTTTTAACATAGTAAACAATAAGTGGCTGAGCTTGAAGATGAAGCTATTCACAAAATAGCTGTAGCGCAGGCTGAATCGGTTCAATCTTCCTCAAGTCTATCTTGCCAATGCGTCTCCGTCTCCATGGTGTGTGGCTGGGGCAGGCTAAGGTAAGCATTAGTTCCTTCTGATTCCTGTTCTCCTCATTCAGCATGCTAGCAAAAGGCAGTCAGTGTCATTTGTCACGGGTCTGGGGGTACCAATTGGTACAACGTTTGGAGGGCTTGCCTTTCTGGCATTCAGCGTGGACCCATCAATCTAAGATAAACTACTACCAGACATACATTAAAAATCCTTGGCTTTTTACTGTACCACTGTGTAAACAGTACTAGATGTCAAGTAGATCTGCTGGGAGATGTCAGTATGCTTTGGTCTGGCTCTCGGGTTTATTGCCAATGGAACCCCCCTAGAATTCCTTTCACATACTCAGAAGGAAATCCTTATATTCATTGTTATCTCTAAATGCCCTGTTTCAGTAATCTGAAATTTGAAGACTTACAGAAACACAAAAGGAATGTTATTTCACAAATATCTTAAATAAAATGCAAATAATTAACCTCAGTCAGCACCGAGCCTCTGGAGACTGTGTTCATCTATATGAACAGGTGGTACGCAACTGAGAAACTCTGTAGGTTGATCACTAATGGTTCCTCTTTGGTTCCAGAGACAGAAGGCCATTAATTCCGAATAAGGATCTACAGTAAAGTGTATTAGCAGCAAACATACGGGAAAAAAAAAGGTCACAACAATTCTGACACTAATATTGGGACATCTTCCTGTTGTAAATTCCAGATTCTGTTCCATCTTCCCCTAAATACACTAAGAATGTGTATTTAGGAAGTGTTACTATTTAGAAGGTATTATGGTATCTCTATAAGAACAGTTTTTGAGATGAAACTCAAGTGATTGATTAGGGACATGTCTGTTCTCAGTCAAAAAGATGCAGAGGATGCATTTATTCCAGTCAGATATTGATATTTTGCACATCTGTTAATGACCAGGGTGAGGTAAAATACAAACTTCAATGGATGAACATATCTGGCAATGAAATGGATAACCTGAAGGCGCAGTTTCTGGTCAGCTAAAGCTGACCTAAGGCAGAGCTACAGGGACCCACCTTCTGCAGCCTGACATTTCAGCTCCCCCCCCGCCCCCGGCTCCCGGTACCAGTACTTGTGCTGTGGTGCTAGTTCAGTGCAACAACGCCAATTTTTACTGAGCCAAACCAAATTTTTTAAGGGGTTTGCATTCAGCTCACTGCACTCTGAATTGCTTAGGACTGCACGACCACCAGAGCTGGTACCAAACTGGCACCGTAACAGCACTGATTCACATCGGCTTATGCTGTTGTAAACTTCATACAGAGGTTAAGTAACCCCTCATACAGAGCAGCAATTGCTAACTAAGCAGTCCTGTACAGAAGACACACACTTTAACAAAGCAGTATTTGCACATTCAAGGAGATGTGGCAGTTCTCTGACTTACAGTATTATAAAAACAATCTTCTGACAAATTAGAAGTAAATCACTTTGAAGAGTGAGAGGAGATCCAATTTCTCTGCTTTCCCTGGTGGATTCCAGAAAGCAGGTGACGTATGGGAGCTGGCATGTTCTGTCAGAAAAGGGGTCTGTGATGAATGCTACCAACAACATGCTTAATTTAAAACCAAGGTTCTACATTACCTACCCAGCTCCTCTACACTTTCTGCACAGTACCTGAAGGACATGACTATATGCAAATCACACCTGCTGGTTTAAAAACTGATACCAGGAGTATAACAAGTGTCAGGATTGCTCTCTGATGTGAAAAAAATAGCAGCGAACACACTTGAATGCTGAGTCCTGAGGGAGATTGTCATGGGACACTGCAAAAGCTCAGAACTGCAAGTACTATGCAAAAAGATCTGCATGGTTCAGCTCAAACAGAGGATTTTTCAGTGTACAAGACAAATGTGACAAAACCATATTTCATCTGAGATTAATGTGGCATTTCTATGCTTTCGGGGCAGAAAGGTTTGCATTAAAATGGTAAGCGCAATAAATGAACACGTTTACATACACACACCTACAAATAATAACTTAGAACACTTTTCCTGAAATACGTATTATTTTTCTTGCTTTATAAATTGGAAAAGGTTTTATAGAAATCTCTGCACAAAATTCAGTTTTGTCCTATTATTGCCTGTAAGAATTTTTAGTTATCATCAATTTTTAAATAATTAATGCATTTCCATAAGCAAACTATTCCCGTGACATGAAATCCTGTCAGAAGCAGCAAATTTAAGAGTGTGAAAGGGCCACACAACTTCCCACTGGCTGTTTCCTTATTCTTCCAAACAAAATCTTAATATATGTTGCTATAACAAATCTCTTGCATTCTATGTGATCAAATGAATCCTAATTAGTGTGAGGAAGTATTAGCGCTACCTGTGTCTGGCAAATGGTAAACATACCATGTGGCCCTGTTGACTCCAGTTATTGGTGGTAGACATTGTGCAACACTGTTGCAAGGTCAGACCCACAGATTTTGAAGGTACTTTGCAAGTCCTGGTGAGTTTCTTTGAAGTACACAGTTTATGAATTTCAGTGTAGATGAAAAGCTTGAGAAAAAACAAAATATTAAAAAAACCCCCACAACCTGAAATTCCAAGAGCAAAAACCAAGTTTAATTCAAATCACATTGAGAGGCCACAGAAATTGCCTCTAAAGATGGAAATAATGGACCTAATTCGTCCCTGCTGGACGACCATTGATGTTGACAGATTTACTGCAGGACTGACTTTGACAAAATGCAGTTACTGAATTTTCTTTAGTTATAGGCCTCACACATTAATCTCATAATTGTACTGCTGAGTTGTCCTAGTCAGCAAGTGACAGTGATTTAAAAAAAAAAAAAGAGCAGCTTCAGCTTGTGCAATTACATTCTTCATCGTTTCTGCTGAATGCACAGCCATTTTCTTGGTACTTGGTATGAATATTTTTCCTCAAAAGTGTCTTTATAGGGGATATGCCATGTATCACCTGTAGTCTGTACCACACAGTCATAACGGAAAGCAGGCTGTTGGATAAAGACAGATAAAAACATTTTTTTAGACTTTACATAATATATTACCAAAATATCAGTTATAGGTAGTGATAACTTCCAACATTTACCTTAGAAATCTCCATAGAGTCATCTCTTTAACAACTCTCATTTATTTCCTTACACCAAACAAATTCTAAATTTTACTACTGGAGGAAAAACTAAAACATCTTTTAGCATTTTGTGGTTTAGGAGTCATCATAAATGGTTAAAATTCTGTCTTCCATCTCCACTAGATAATAATAATTTGAACATAATGCACTCAATTTCTAGAAAGAGCAAAATGATTGTTTTTCTGTTCAGTTAAATGAAATCATATGGGAATTAACTCAAGATGTGGAGTTTATAGGCCTGAACTGATAGGATTTAATGACATTAATGACATCTTGTGTTTGTTCTTGCAGTATACCTCTTTACAGAACTGACTTGCTCTGTGCTGAGCAGAATGTAAGAAAAGGGTTTATCACTAACACTTTCAAGAGCATCTAGTCGAACAGATACAATAAACTATTTTTCTGGCCCATTATGTTACAGGTATACTAACTCAACATACATAACACAAACACAAAAGAAACGTTTCTGGTTGGCAATTACAGTTCTCAGAACATACTATCACTCTGTATGTATAGTCTTGGAACTCTGCTTTCCCGTCACAGCTTCCAGAATAACGTAGAAGACAGCTATGACTGGGAATGTCAATCATTGAAATCACTTGTATGGGAATTAAGATGTAAAAATGATCATCCTTTTTGTACAAAAGAAAGAAACAAGGTGTAGCTAAAGCTGTGTTACTCAGATAACCCTACATTCAGTATTTGGTTCCATAAAAAGAAATGTATACATGGCAACACTGAAGGAAAGGCTGTCATTCTTATAAGCCTGTATCAATACAGTCTGTTTGTACTGATGAATATTATTTTAGAATTTTAACCAGAGCAGCAAGAAAATTAATCTGCATAGGTGCAGTATTCCTTTAAGTAGGCAATAACAATGCAGACTGCCCAGATAACTGCATGATATGGAATGTCACTTGATGAATTTTTCCCTAGAAAAATCTTAAAACAGCTGCACTCCTGTTAATGTACTGTTCATGGCTCACAAGGATACATGTCTCCTTGACAATAACAATAGTGTTCTGCTATAAAATGACACTATGCTTGGAAAACTGTAATTTCTGCAGCTGAATACTGACTATAAACCTGACTGTTCTGGGCTTTCTTCTATGAAATTTTATACATATGTTAGGCTAATATAACAGTGAATACTGAAATACCTGTATTTTCATGCTTCTTTAAAATAAAGATGAAAGAAATTCTATTGTACAATTAGAAGCATGATATTTTGTAATAGTGCTACAGAGGAAAATAAGGTATTTCAAAGTTTAAAATAAATGAAAACATATGGCACTTAAGTTTTTACAGCAATGGAAAAATTTGTATACACAAACTTGTATTTACATTTATGTTTTACACATTTAGGCAGCATTTCTTGTCTTTTTGACAGTTTTCATGTTTGTAGCATGCTTTGTGAATACAGTGGATTTTCAGTAAACATGGAAGTTTTGAGCCCATTGGTACAAATCCATTTCTTAGACTCCAACAAGAATTTTTTTGCTTCCAGAGTTTGAAATTGTGTATCTTTAATTAAAATGCTCTGTGTGCTTTCTGATTGCAGCAGAAAACTTACCGAAAAACGTATATGCTTTCCTTCTACAGAAGGGGAAAACACTATTTGGTGTCCACGCTGCCACTTACGGAACAGATGACGTGTCAGACTGTCGGAAAGACAAGCCTTGTGATCCCGGAGGAAGTCTCTAGTAACAAACTTGCAATGCTTGCCTGATCGAAGAGTGGCATATAACAAGAAGGCATCATCTTCAGATCTTAACAAAACAAATGGAAAAGACAGACGTCATTCACAAGGGAGTAAGTGATTACAGGAAATGAATCAAATGCTGATCTGAGATTTATTCATCAGCAACACTGAAAATTCCCATCACTACTCTAGTTCCCTGGTGAACTAAAGAACTTCTGCTTACCACAGGGCACCAAAAGTTAGAGTGCAATAAAAATTAATTGCATGCTACACAGAGCATTCTTCCCTCTTATCACAATCTGATAATACAACAATATAATCTTTTACCACAAAAATTAGCAGTACAGTGCTATGTGGAACAGAACTGCTAAAACTCATAAGCATACCCCCAAAGCTTGGCTGGAATACAATCATCACAACTGATAATAAAGTATAACGGAGGTAACAGCACAAATCTGTGAGTCTTTGTCTTTATGGGTAAATACACTTCCAAAAAATACTATGATTATTTGAAAAATACATTCAACACTAGCTGCTATTAAACTGAAACAGTTTTAGGGAAAAATATCTAAAAATACATTTATAGTGGGCATGAGTTACCCTACATCTGGAGAAGGTGAGCAGAACTTTGCTTGAAACCATTTTTTGATTGCTGTGGATTACTGTAATAATAAGTGACGAGACACAAGATTAGCGAGGGTCTCCATCCTGGGGTAATAATGTCCCCTTCGTTGGTGCTCAGATAGCAAGAAAGAAAGCAACATGATTCATCAGCAAAGAGAACAAAAGCTAGAACTGGAGGGGGGATAAAGGAGAACAGATCTGAAACAAGGAGGCAGGCAGAAGAGACTTGGTCTGGCTCCTAGCACAAGGAACTTGGTCAAAACTTCAGGGAACTAGAAGAAATGGCAGAGAGAGGTGAAGGATTAACAGTGCCCAACTCAGATGGAGACTAGGTGGAGCTGGAACTAAAGGAGAACTGAGAACCATTATATGAGGAAAGCAGGGCAAGGAGAGGGAACAGTGAGGTGGAGGCAAGTACCTAGTTTAGAGACCAGGACAGGCTTGACTGGACAAGAGCAAGGAGGTCGTGCTTAAATTAGAGAGGCAGAGGGTCTAGTTCCACTCACAGAAATAGTCTCCTCTGGGAGCAGCAAGGAAGTCAGCGCTCCAGACCCTCCACACTCCTGGGCTACGAAGCAACAATGGTCAGGCACAAACTCCATCTCCTCCCTTTGCAGGGCTAATACAGCAGACCACAACTCTACACTGATGCTATCAGGTATTCTGTAAGGTCAGGCCACTGTGGTCTTGGCAGTAGTTTAACAGTTATAAATCCTAGTAAATCGTACAGGTGTTGATACGATTCTAAGTGATGAAATTCTTCACAATGCAACTTTTAATATGTATTGTTTTTTGAAGCAAGTATAGCAAGGGACATGTTTCTCTTTCACACACACAGAGCTAGAGATACTAGTAATGGTACTAAAAACTAAAGCAAAATGCACATAAATCAGGTGTTGATCTCCATTACATTTAGCCATTTTCTTCAACTCACATGTTTTCAGCAAAGAAGAAGTCTGCCTTATTCTGCATCTGCTTCATAATCTCTCTTTTCCAATTTGAAGAGTTCATCAGCATGTGTTTGCGGCCCAGCACAAGCAATCGGACATTCTCTTTTGCCAGGCAGTTGATAGCATCAAATAGCTGTAGAAAACAAAGCAAAACCAAAGATTTTCTTAGCTGTAAAAACAGACTGACAGGAAATACTTTCAAATCTGTGTCTCCACAAGTGAGACTTCTAGCACAGCCTCATTTCCCACAGTTCTTAACTGCAATACAAATTAAGTAGATAACTAATATAACAATGTAACAAAGAAAAAAACCCCACAAAAACAAACAAACAACAACAACAACAACAAAAAACAACACCCCAAAAACCCCAAAACAATTAATTGTAGGAACCTGCTTTCAACCACGCAGAAAATACATTGCTATTATAAACCTTTCCCAGCTCTTGCAGCTTGAATGACATAAATGAACTCAGGGAGAGTTGCACGGAGATTTCAGAAATTCAGAGTCGGCTGAGGGAACTGAATCACGTTGGAATTTAAATAATACCTACTTTTGGAAACGATTCGGCACTGAAGCCTTTGTTGGCATCAGAGGAGGACTGAGCCCCAACCCATACTGCTTTTCCAGCCCCACCTGTTGTCGAAATTGGAGAACTACAGGTGATCTGGGCTGCCTTGTGGGGACGAAGCAAGCAGCAGTAAAGGAAATCTGTGACACCAGGCTGAAGGGTTTATGAAAGCCACATCCACAGTAGCCTCCCATTTACGAACCAACATCCTGAGGTGGCAAACTCACTGCTGCGCCAGCTTCTCTTTTCAGAGGGACTTTTCACCAGCCTCTTAGGGCTGTGCCTGTTCGGCAATAAATGCTTCGCAGGACAGGCACTTGTGCCTGTGGCTTTCCCTCCCTGCTTCACCCAGACAGAGTTCATGGAGGACAAAGGTTCTGGCTTTCAGCATCCAGGTTATTACTGTGGACTGCTCACAAAGCAATGGCATTTCAATTCTGCCCAGAAAGAGAGAAGAACTGTTTCTTGAGACTGAAGCATCACATTTGAAGGCTGAGGACAGCATGCTCAGCCACCAGGGAAAGGTGTTTCCTAATTTTTACCTGCATTTGTGGCCACTATTTGTCAATATACAATCTCCTGATTTTTCTCTAATCCCTCTTCCTGATTTTGCAGCTACTTCTCTCTTCCCTGTGTGTCTTCTCCCTGTAATACTTCCAATTGCCTTTCTCCTTCTCTTGTTCTTTCCCCTCCTTTCCTCCTATTTGTGATCCTTATTCTTATTTACTATCATTATCTTTTGTTTCAGGGGCTAGAAAGAATTGTTCTTCTAACTCTTAGGTACAATTTTACAATACATTTAGTTTGATCTACCTGCAAGTAGCAGTGGAAAGAGGTGGTCCCACTCAATCCTCTCTCAAGCTTCACATTCCCACTACTTCTGTTGCATCACATCTAACAATGGCACAGCTACCCACAAGCTCATTGATGCAACGAATTTTTTTGGCAGGGTTGAGCTTGCAGCCACACAACTGATAGACCTCAGTCAAAGCCAATGACTGATGGGAACATGTTGCTGGAGATGGTGAGGACAGGAAGCGTGGGACTGCCCTTCTCAGCAACGGACCTGCAGGTGGATCAAATTAAGTATGCCATGAGCCTGGATCTGAGGATCTGAGAGAGGAGGCTAGAAGATTTTCTACGTTAATTTTCATTGTTGACCTATAAGCTGCTGTTACCAGCATTGACTCTAAGGGACGGAAGGCTCTGTTTTCATGGAGACATAAGGTCTCAGTGCTAATGCAAAGCACAAGAGCCTAACAGTACCTATAGGAACTGACTTCCTGCTTCCAGGAGATCATGCTGGACATTGGCTATGCATGCACACAATCTACTTTTCCCTGGTTAAAACAAACAGGACATAATGTGAGCAGGAAAAGGCCAAATACAGTCATTTCTGTCTATGAAACAGCAGGTAAAAATAAAAATGGCATTCTCTCCAGTGCATGCCCTGAATCTTTGGAGATACGTTTCAGAATTCTTACTGGAACACAGAATTGAAAGATACAAACGAAAGCCACCATTTTTATGTAACTGGAAGGCTTTCAAAGTAACTATATTATGCAATAACGTATCTTCTCATCTATGTCACATAATTTATTTGATCATTAAATTATGAGGTTATTAAAAATTGAAAAACTGAAATTCAGTTTGTCAATATTGACATTTCTTTTTGGAATGTCTCATCTGGGCAGTAAAAAACTGGCTCATCAGATTTACTTGTTTAGAGTCACTTTTATTTTCCAGTTCTCACGCATTGGCCCAGTCCTGCAAATGGCTGGATAAAAATACCAAAGGAGAATTAAGTTTGTTAAGCTGAGTTCATTAAACTTAATAAAAGTTAAGAATGTAGATACTGCATCCACACACATTTTCATGTAGAGAAGTCAACAGTGAAGAAATATCAACTATGAGTAACTTAAGCAACCCCTTACAAATTTCAAATGCAAATACTTTTTCTTCTCTGCTAATGTTTTGCTACATTAAGGGAAGGTTAGCAGAAAGTCATGTGAAAAAAAAAACCCACGTTAAAACATTTTTCAAAGAACACTTCAGAAACTGATTCCACAAAGTCTAAAATAAAAAACTTGACAGCAAGAGCATCCTGATAGTACAACAGAAGAAATAAGTCCTAAAAGCAGACTCTGAGCCAAAATGAGTCTCAGGAACATAGCTGCACTAGTGGTATTGCAAGTCTATAAAGAATTGCCAGTATTTGAATTGCTGGAGTTTACCCTCAATAAAAAAAGGAAACATCTTTTAATTACACTTATGGTTCAACACAAAGGCAGCTGGATTTCCAGATACAGATTAGTCAATTGGGGCTATTCCCAAGTTTATAAAAAACCTGACTGGCTTGGATCCAGCTCCCTTAAGTCTTTCTTTCTGAAAGTTAAACTAGTGTCACTTTGTACCTGTTAGTCATATGGACTTTCTTCTCCTACATGTTATTAGCATATGAGGTTCTCTAGTATCAAGTGCTTCTGTGAAAAAATTGAGAGCTTGGTCTAAATTAGCTACCATTTTGCAATGGAAAACCTCAAAACAGGCTTAAATCATAATAAAATTAATGGGAATCACCATTAAAAAACTTAGAAACTCCTGCTTGCAGCACACTGTCCCTCCTCTACTTACCACAGAGATTAACCTTTACTTACACAACTAAAACACAGAAGATAGAAATTATTTTTGCTTTCACAAGATAAAAATAATTTTGTTCTGCACACTTCCTTGCCTAATGCAACTTTACTAAAGAGCATTTTATCTCATTTTAGGCTTGGATGCTTAACAGGGGTGGTCTACAGGGAGTCACAGAACTTACGTGAGGAGTTTCCTAAGTGTGCCTTACTCCCACGCCTGGCTGCTTCTCAAGAAAAGAATATGTGAAACAGCCAGTAACACTTGGTTTAGTCATAGAGGAAACTGAACATAATACTGTTAACAAAAAAAAAAAAAACAGCAGTAGTGATCTCTCACTTAAAAAGACATTAGTATTTTATTAATCTACTATTTCCAAAAGCTATGTAAAAACTATTACTTGTCACTACACAATGCAAATATGCTATATGCAATAAGTTCTATGTCAATGCACCCTTTGAATGTTCCCACATTATTTAGGCAGCAAATATCATACTCAGTTGGATAATCTCTTCAAAAGGCAATCTGTATAAAACATTAAAAAACATACAACACACACATTCCCTATGCTATTCATTTTCTTGAGAATGAGGATTACAAAATTAGTGAAAGAATGACCTTTTATGAATATTACTATCTTTCAAATTTGAACAGTAGAGCATATAAAACCACATTTTCTCTGAAAACAAGAATTACAAGATGCCATTTTGCACAGAAGGGAAAGTAAGCATGGTTAGACTGGCTGCTTCAATTCATATGGTAAGATGCAGCTGAGGCAGAGTAGTAAGCTGTGAATCACTGCTGTTCTGCACAAATCACTGGCCACACAACAAGGCACTAGAAGTACTACTGGATTATATAGATAACTATCACTGCATTCAGTCTTATTTTCTTTTCCTCTGACGGGGCACATCAGGATCCATGTCTCTTTCTGAACTACACAGACTTCTTAATCAACTGTTTGTGAAGATCACTAGATCCTTCTCCAAGACATTCATGCTCATTAGCACCTGCTGAATACGTTCTGCCTGCAATCCCTTTCATCATTTTCAGTTACATTTAAATTATTCCCATGCTGTCCCAGTCTTTGTTTAATTAGATCTTTCTCAAACTTCTCCTAAACCTTAACGTTTTACTTACAAACAATTTTGTGTTCACAGCAGTTCAGTAAATGACTCTGATGGAGCCAGAATACAGCCACAAAGAAATATGAAACTACACATAGATCAACGGAAGAGTTAAGATGAGCTGTTCGCAAATGTACCGAGTATCTCCCAATGTGGTTCTTCTAAGTACACTGCTAATAATTTTTCTGTCATTTTTTTATTATTAACAATAATCCATAATGAAATGGATGTATGTATCCAGTGCATGTTCTAAGTCTGATTTCTGCACTTTAGTCTGTGAATCAGTGAAAAACTAGCACACTTATACAATACTTTGGCTGAGTGTATACATTTATCTTTCCTTGGGACAGTCCCAGAGATATGAGCTATTTCCCCACATGTAAATGAGTTCTTTTTTGTTTCTGCAGCAATACCATTTTATAGCATTTCCCCTCCAGCACCTTTTTTTTTTTTTTCCCCTGTTGAGCTGGTATAATCTATTTGTTGGGCCATGTTGGCAACCAGATCATGGCACCATCACAACTGCACTCACACACCAGGGCAGGAACTTCTGGATCAGAGGAGCCGGAGTGAAAAGAGGTAGGGCGGCAGAGCAGTAGGACAGAGAATGCATACTCCACAGGATCGTGCTGATGTTGAACTCCTCGTATCATGTAAAAAGCCTGAGCTTTGCAAATATGAAATAAAGCAACTGAAAATGCTGTAACTCATAGTTTCACATTTCGAAAATCAGCAAATTATACCTTAAAAGAGCCACTTTTCAGGTAAGAAATATTAACAGTTTCCCATCAGAAGGGAAC